TTGATCTGAAACAGAGTTCAGAGTAATGATGTTTAAAATGCTCAACAGTATGAAAAAAGATATAGTAACTATGAAAAAAGAACAGTCTAGGATAAAGAATGACATATCACAAATAAAGAAAACATCAGAAGGAATACACAGCAGATTAGGGGAGGCTGAGGATCGAATAGTGAATTAGAAGGCAGACTTGAAAATATCACTCAATTAGAGAACCAAAAAGAAAAAAACAATTAAAAAACAGGAGGATATTTTAAGGGAGTGTGGGACAATGTGAAACGTAACAATATTAGAACAGTAGGTGTGCCAGAAGAGGCAGAAAGAGAGAAAGGAATAGAGAAGGTGTTTGAAGAAATAATGGTAGAAAACTTCCCTAACCTAGTAAAGGAAAAAGTCACACAAGTTCAGGAGGCACAGAGAACCCCATACAAGAAGAACCCAAACAGACCCATGCCTAGACACATCATAATTAAAAAGCCAAAAATTAAAGACAAAGAGAGAATCTTAAAGGCAGTAAGAGAAAAGAACACTGTTACCTACAAAGGAGTTCCCACAAGGCTGAAACCTGATTTCTCATCAGAAATCTACAGGCCAGAAGGGAATGGCATGAAGTACTCAAGGTAATGGAAAGCAAGGATCTGAGACCAAGATTACTATATCCAGCAAGGCTATAATTCAAAATAGATGGTCAAATAAAGAGCTTCCTAGACAAAAAAAAAAGACTAAAGGAGCTCATCACCACCAAGCCAGCATTACAAGAAATGCTAAAGGGATTGCTCTAAAGGATTGCTGAGAAGCAACAGAGAGAGAAACCATTTTAATACAGAATTAAAATGGCTATAAATAACTACCTCTCAATAACCCAAAATGTAAATAAATTAAATGTTCCAATCAAAAGGTGTAGAGTAGCTGAATGGACAAAAAGATGACCCAACTATATGCTGTCTACAAGAGACCCACCTCAAAACAAAAGACACACACAGGATGAAAGTGAAGGGATGGAAAAAAATTTCCCATGCAAATGGAAAAGAAAAAAAAAACTGGAGTAGCAATACTCATACCTGACAAAATAGACTTTAAAAGCATCATGCTCTACAGGACACTGAAAAAAGAGATAGAGGAAGACATACATAGATGGAAGAACATACCATGTTCATGGATTGGTAGAATCAACATCATCAAAATGTCCATACTACCCAAAGCAAACTATAGATTCAGTGCAATCCCAATTAAATTACCAACGGCATATTTCACAGATCTAGAACGAACGTTCCAAAAATTCATCTGGAATAAAAAAAGATCTCGAATAGCTGCAGCAATCCTGAGAAAGAAGAACAAAGTAGGTGGGATCTCAATACCAGATATCAAGCTGTATTACAAAGCCACTGTTCTTAAAACAGCTTGGTACTGGCACAAGAACAGACATATAGATCAATGGAATAGAATAGAGAACCCAGAAATCGACCCAAACCACTATGCCCAATTAATATTTGACAAAGGAGGCAAGAGCATACAATGGAGTCAAGACAGTCTCTTCAATAAATGGTGTAGAGAAAATTGGACAGATACATGCAAAAAGATGAAACTAGACCACCAACTCACACCATACACAAAAATAAACTCAAAATGGATAAAAGACTTAAACATAAGATGGGAAACCATAAAAATACTAGAGGAATCCACAGGCAGCGAAATCACAAACATATGCTGAAGGAATTTCTTCTCTGATACTGCTCCTAGGGCAATGGAAACTAAAGAGAAAATAAACAAATGGGACTACATCAAAATAAAAAGCTTTTGCACAGCAAAGGAAACTATCAACAAAACAAAAAGAAGGCCCACTGCATGGGAGAACATATTTGCCAATGATATCACCGATAAGGGTTTAATCTCCAACATTTACAGGGAACTCATGCAACTTAACAATAGGAAGATAAACAATCCAATCAAAAAATGGGCAATGGACCTAGATAGACACTTTTCGAAAGAGGACATACAGAAGGCTGAAAGACATATGAAAACATGCTCAAAGTCACTAATTATATGAGAGATGCAAATCAAAATGACAATGCAGTATCATCTCACACCCGCCAGAATGGCTATCATCAACAAATCAACAAACAACAAGTGTTGGAGAGGATGTGGAGAAAAAGGAACCCTTCTGCACTGCTGGTGGGAATGCAGACTGTTGCAGCCACTGTGGAGAACAGTATGGAGCTTCCTCAAAAAACTAAAAATGGAACTCCCATTCGACCCAGTGATCCCACTTCTAGGAATATATCCCAAGAAGCCAGAAACACCAATCAGAAAGGATATATGCACCCCTATGTTCATAGCAGCTCAATTCACCATAGCTAAGATTTGGAAACAGCCTAGGTGCCCATCAACAGATGAGTGGATTAAGAAACTGTGGTACATCTACACAATGGAATACTACGCTGCGGTAAAAAAAGAAGGAACTCTTGCCATTTGCAACAGCATGGATGGAACTGGAGAGCTTTATGCTGAGTAAAGTAAGCCAGTCAGAGAAAGATAAATATCACATGATCTCATTCATTTGTGGAATATAGAGAACAACTAGACTGATGAACAGGGACAGATCCAAAGACAGAGAAACAGCAATCAGACTATCAATCCCCAGAGGGAAAGTAGGGGAGGGTGGGGGTAAGGGGAAGAGATCAACCAAAGGACTTGTATGCATGCATATAAGCCAAACCAATGGACACAGACAACAGGGGGATGAGAGCATGAGTGTGTGGGGGGGAAGTTGGGGGTTAATGGGGGGATGAGGACACATTTGTAATACCTTAACCAATAAAGAAATTAAAGATTTTTAAAAAAGCATCATGCTAAGCGAAATAATCTAGTTGGAGAAAGATAAATATCCTATGATCTCACTTATTTGTGGAATATAATGAAAAACATAAACTGATGAACCAAAATAGAGCCAGGGGGGAAAAATATACTAGAATATAATAGAAGTAATCCTGTTATTTGAAGATTTTTAATATTTCCTACAACTGTTATGATATCATACTATGTTAGTACGTTTTAGTAATATTATTATACTTAAAATCCTTTCATTCTTGAAATATTAATGTTTATCGCATGTAATATTATATGTAAGATCATTTTTCTTGATTAATTGGTGTTTATTGCATGTAACATTATATTTAAAATCGTTTTTCTTGAGATATTAATGTTTATTTCATGTAACATTATTATATTTAAAATCATTTTTCTTGAAATAAAAAAAAAAACCTGAAAAAAAAGAAGTTAAAAATCACCTGTGGTTTTATCCTTGCATATAGATAACCATTCTTAATAGTTTTACATATATGCTTCCAGAATTTTCTTTCTACACCTAGAAAACCACTTTTAAAAACTACAAAACAGAATTATACTGTATATACTGTTTTTGTATATATTGTATTTAACTCCTTTTTACTAATTTGAAAATTTTTTCATGTCAATAAATACAGGGTGAGGAAAAAGTAGGTTTATAGTTGTTCATATGGAAAATAATACAATAATTAATAAACAATAATATAACACTAAACTCTGTAAACCTACTTTTGCCCCACTCTGTATTTATATTCTAATCATCATTTTTAGCAACTGCATATAGAAACTCCTTATAGGGATGTCATAATTTATTTAACCAATCTCTTATTAATGGACATTTGAGTAGTCTCCATCTTTTCATTGTTATAAACAATATTGCAAAGAATCAAGACAGAATAACATTGGGTTTAAGAATTCAAGCTTAGGAAAAAGTGAGTCAAAGAGAGGTGAAATAACTTGCCTAATGTCACAAGCTAAAAAGGGGAAATCATAGTTGGAACTCAGATCTGGTGTTACTTTGAAGTCCAAACTCTAAAACACTGTGACATTCTTTAGCCAGTTCTGGAAGAAATTTTGTTCCTACCCCCAATTTTTTATATGCCAAAATTGTAACTTTGTAAAATTTGACTGTGTTTGAAAGTGACTGAAAGTATAAAAAAATTAAAATGAATTGTTGTTTTTTAAAGAATACATGCTCTAGAATCAGAGACTATGGTTCAAAGCTCAGCTCTACCACTATACAATGCGGCTCAGGTGTTGAAGCCCATTGCAGAGTGGGACAAAATCGTACCCACCTTGGATGGTGTGGTTTAAGCATGAAAAAGGATACCACTTACTATCTTCTTCTCAGGGCAGTGGAAGACATGGAGCCTCATCTATATTGGGCTTTTTAAGCCCATAGCCCAGAATCTGTGCTGGGAATGAACTCACCTTATTGACTTTGCCCACACATAGGTCACCCACCTAGTAGTGAGTCTGAGGGAGAGGTCAAGTAGGGTCAGCAGGCAAACATGATCATACTCACCAGGGCAGGTAAGGAGGGGATGGGTGATGAGCTTGGAGGCTGACTGGACAGGTTCAGGGCATTAAACTTGGGAACCACGGCAACGCTGACCCTCCGGCGGGGCATGTTCTATAGAAAGAGAAGTGACCAGGCTCACTGTCATGAAGGGAGTAGCACCCACTGTTCAGAAAGGCCCTGACTGTACCTACTCATTCCTACTGCTGTAATAACATTCACTGGATAGTTTTGCTTTGGGGTAATGATGGTGGTGGGAGTTGGTATGGAGAGAGTAGCCAAAGTTGACACAACTTTTCTGTTAGTGGGGAGTGATGTCTCAGCATGTTTCTATTTTAGATTATTAAATCCTGAAGAAATTAAACAAAAATGATCCCCAGTGTCTGTGTAACATCCTTGATAGTGTATGAAAACTATAGCAATACCAAGGTTTATGCATCATTTCATGTTCATTTAAGGGATGGTACAGTCAGGAAAACTATGAGCAAGAGAAGGCTGGAGGATGAGCTAAAAAGTGTGGGGAGCCAAATTAGAGACTCTGTCCAGAGGTTCTCTGCCCCCCCCTCCCCCCCGCCCCCGTGGGTCCAGGAATGAAGGATCTCCTGGGTGACTGTAGAAACTTCTGTTGTACTTCCTCCAGGAGCCCTGGTATCCCTTGAACATGCATACCTTTCCCAGAGAGAGGGACATGGACCGCGCTGTGCGAGGGACCCCGTCTTCTGCAACAGGAGGGAACAGAGAGGAGAACTCAGGTAAGTTTTTCAGAGCAGCCTCCAGCAGGGAACAGATAGTTAGAAACTAAACCATGGCATCTATGGGCCAGAGGCCTCATGGTCATGCTCCTCTCAGATTCTCTGCATATTGCATCACCACTTCTGTAATGGCCTGTACTTTTGGAGCAGGCACTTTTCCTATGAGAAAAGAGAAAGTATTTTTTCCTACTAGAGCTCAGGGCAAAACAAACTTCCTTGATTTCTTTCTCTGCTGTTTGGTGATTGTTTTTTTCTTGTCTGAAGATGCAGACCTTGGAAAGTCTATGGGAGGCTTAGAGTCACCTCTGCCATGGGTGTTGAGGGCCTCATCTCAGATTGTGTGCAAGCGCAAAGCCCAGCGCCCAGATAACTGAGGCTGACTCCGGTCGCAAGGAGGCTGCAGGGTCAGCTTGGTTTCAGTTCTCTTTTCTTTTCTTGTATCCGAATACTTCAATTTCTTTTCTTGTAGATTCAGCTATTCTTTTAGGCTAATGTTTGCTTTATCTTTTTCCAGCAAAAAGTATTTGTGGTTAAAGGGTTTGAAGTGTCCTAGTCAGCCAAAAAAGCAGAACCAGAAAATATTCTTTATATATGAAGAGTTCATACAAATTAATAAAATACTACTCTTATAAGTGAGCAAAAGTTATAATTAGAGAATTTATGAAAGTGGAAATACAAATGTCCAGGGAACATTTGAAAAGGTCAAAAAATACAAATTAAAACTATGAGATGAGATACAATTTTGACCCATCAAAGTCAAAGATATTTTTTAAAGGAAAGGGCAAAAGTGTCAACAGTAGAATGAATGGAGCATTATTGTAACTCATTACATGGAATATCAATGGGTTATTTGAAAATAATTTGCTTTAAGAGCCTGACAAGTATGTTTTTCTCATGACTAATAGTTACACTTCTAAAATCGATCTTAAGAAAAAAATCCAAAATGCAGACCATCAGCATGTTTCATATTTAGAAAAAAATAGGCGTCATATTTTTCTTTTAAATGTGTATCACTTCTCTTGAAATCAGAGGTATTTTTATTTCACTGTAGTCTTTAGAGTTTCAGGCAAGGACAAAGATTGCCAGAAATCATGTAAAGGCTTACAAACAAACACTGTATATTAGGGAAGGGTCATAGAGTGTCTGATGGACACACCTGTTGGGTGGGTGCTGGCCCCTCTGTATGGGCCAAGCTGGGGTATAGCTTGAAAAAACAGTGGAGTGAGAACAAATGTCTGAAACCTTATTCACCATTCAAGACTCAGCTACCTGCTCCCTTCTTACTGTAGGCACTTTCTCACCACCCCCAGACTGAAGGGGGGGCGATGCAGTGTGCTCCCCATGGAAGTCTGCTTACTTCTGTCACAGCACTGGCTACTCTGCCCTGCTCTCCCCACAGGTTTGGGAGCTTCTTTTGGTCAGGACTGTGTGCCCTTTCCCTCTCTATCACGTGGGCACACCAAAGGTGCTAATAAACGCCTGTAGAATGAATGGGTACCTGCTCATTTCATAAATCTTGGCTAAGGTGGTCCATAGGGGACACGGCACCTTGCAGGGTGATAACACAGGTACTAGGATTTCTTTGATGGCGACTTCCCCAACTTCCAGCACTGACAGGGAGTGTTTTGTTAGAGGCCCAGGCGCATGTGGGTCAGGAACCTGGCTGCCAAGATCCAGAGCAGACAATCTGGAGCTGGGAAGCATCAGTGATATTCCCCAGGAAACTTGTGAAACCTCCTGTTTATAAAGGTTTCTCCATCTGTTATAGTTTCTGTACTTACCCTCCTCCTACTCTTGGTAACACGGATGTTTGCATTCCACGGGGATTCCTGTCCCTAAAATGTCTGTTTTCTCCCACTGACACCACCGGCATCAGCCAGAGCCTAAACCCTGGCAGCCTAAGGAGACTTTCTGTTCCAAGACACTGTCCTCCTGCACTGCTCAGGAGCCTCCTAACCCGTCTCCATACCTCAGTGTCTGCCCTTCCCTCAAGCATTACCCACCCTCAAGTCAGATAGATCTTCTCAAAATATAGTCTGAGAATGTCGGGTGATGTCAACTCACCAGTGACTCCTTTATTGCCTCAGGGACAAAGGCCTGGCATGTGGCCCTGATCTACCAAGTCTCACCTTCAGCCTGTCATTATCATACCTCAACCCCGCAACCACACACCTCTGTACATGCTGTTAATATCACCAGGATGTATTTCTCCCTTTTGCCTGAAGAACTCCTATTTTTACTTTAAAATACTGCCCAGACACCATCCTTCTGTAAAACTTTCCTTGACTACCTCAGGCTGCCCCCCTCCTCTGTGCTCCTATAGCAATTTTACAAAACCTTTTTAAAAAGAGTATGTCTTTAAAACATTTGTCTTGCTCACGAGCCTGCTATTCATCTCACAGTATCTCCCTTAGCCAGGCTCTCACTCCCTCTTAACTACCCAGACTTCATCTTCCACCTGGGCTGTTGTAATAGCAGCTTCGTGGCATTCCCTGTCTCTGGCTTTGCCCAGGAATGTACTGGCCTTACCATAGTCAGAGGGAACCTTCTAAACGCTGCATATGATCATGTCATTTCCCTGACTCAGATCTTTGGTTGGATCCCTAATGCTTTCCAGGGTAAAGTCTAAAGTGTGTGTTGCCTGAAGGGGGCCCCAAAGCACAAAGGTCTGGGGTCTGTCCTTTCACAAAGTGGAGGGAGCTCTCACAAACCATGGGCTTCAAGTCAGAGTTAGCCGCTCTGGTTCACTGTGTCACAGTTGCTTTGGGGCCATTCATGTTTGGCCCCTTTGGAACAGCTGCTGCGAAGCCCTTGTGGGCAGCATTTGGCAGGGGCAGTGAACCTTGCTCAATCTGAAATGGGTCCTGGGGCAGCCCTGTTAGATGCAATCCCAGCCTGGAGACATCAGGGACCCACATTGCAGGCCCAAGAGGAGGGCAGGACTCTGGTTCCTTACCAGAGGGGCCGCAGCTGCGGCTTGAATTCTGATTCGCCAGTTTTTTAAATTCCATGAGCTCTGCATGGTCCTTCTCATACGTCCTCTTCAGGTTCTCCACGTACTGCATCATCACCTCTGTTGCCTTTGACATGCGCTTTTCCTGCAGGAAAGGAGAGCATGGACACACGGGCATTTGGGATAAAGGCTCATCAGCACTTGTTTGCACTGAATGAGGCTCTGGGCTGGGTGAATCAAAAGGATACAGGGACCAATTAGACATGACCCTGCCCTCCAAGAGTTTGCTGCCCACCATGTAAGCTGAGACAGGGTTGCAGGCACCTGCACTCAGAGAACAAGAACAAGCACAGCCATAAAGCTTCAGGTGATGGCAGGTGGAAGAGAATCATCTCTGCTCACAGAGAATGAGTCAAGGAGCTTCATGGAGATGGAGTGAAGTAGCTATAGGGTGTAGGCAGCAGCTGGGCATTTAGACATGGACATCAGGGACAACGAGCATTCAGGACAGGGAACTCTAAGAGCAAGGGTACAGAGACAGGAAACCATAGGCCTTGTATCTGAGTAAAGGATTTACCCTCCAAACAGGAGTGCTTTGGAGCGTGAGAGGGAGTGCTATTAAGAATTATGCTGAAATCAAAGACCTAAATATAAGACCTGAAACAAATTACATAGAAGAAAACATAGGTACTAAGCTTATGGGTGTTGGTATTAGAGAGGATATTATAAATTTGATCCCAAAGCAAGGGAAGCAAAAGCAAAAATAAATGAATGAGACTCTATCAAACTAAAAAGGTTCTGCACAACAAAAGAAACCATCAGCAAAACTAAAAGGCAACCAGCCAAACAGAAGTGATACCTCCAATAAGGGGCTAATATCCAAAATATATAGAGTATACATACAACTCAACAACAACAAAAATATAATCTAATAAAAAAAATGGTAGAAGACCTGAACAGATACTTCTCCCAAGAAGGCATACAAATGGCCATCAGATGTATGGAAAGATGTTCAACTTCACTTGCTATAAAGGAAATGCAAATCAAAACCACAATGAAATACCATCTTACCCCTGTTAGAATAGTTATTATCAACAAGACAAGAAATAACAAGTGTTAGAGAGGTTGTGGAGAAAAAGGAACCCTTATTCACTTTTGGTGGGAATGTGAACTGGTACAGCCACTATGGAAAACAATATGGAGGTTCCTTTCTTAATTTATTTTGGGGTTCCAAAATAAATTAAGAATAGAGCTACCATATGACCTGGCAATACCGCTTCTGGGCATCTACGTGAAAATTTTGAAAACATTTATTTGTAAATGTTTATATGTACCTCTATGTTCACTGCAGCATTATTCATGGTGGTTAAAACATGGAAACAACTTAAGTCTCCCTCAGTAGGTGATTGGATAAAGAAGATGTGGTATATACATACAATGGAATACTGCTCAGCCATAAGAAAAGACGAAATACTGTCATTCACTACAAGATGTATGGATCTTAAGAATATCATGCTAACTGATATAAGTCAGACAAAAACCAAACAAACAAGAACCATATGATTTCACTCATATGTGGGATATAAAACGGAAAGCAAAAAATTAACAAAACCAAATGAACACTCATAAATACAGATAATAGTATGGTGGTTACCAGAGGGAACGGAGTAGAGCGAGGTAGAAGAGGGTAAAGGGGGTGAAATATATAGTGACAGAAGAAGATTTGACTTTGGGTAGTGAGCACACAATGCAATATTCAGATGATGTGATATAGAATTGTGCCCTTGAAACATATAATCTTATTAACTAATGTCACCCCAATAAATTTAATAAAAATTTTTAAAAAGAATTATGCTGGGACAATAGGCAAATACTAGGACTGTCTGGAAAACTAGGGATGTACAGGACATCCCACTTATGTAGGAATCAGCAAGCAGTTGGGTTTGTTCACAGTAAAGGCAGTTGGGGCTGGGTTATGAAGGGCCTTGTCTTAAAGTAAGGGAATGACATAATCAGGCCACCCGTGGAAATTAGACTGACGGAGTGG